GCCTCTGGGGGAGGCAGCACCAACCGAGGCGGCCCGGGGCGGGGAAGCGGACAGCTATTGGCTACTGGGTTCGAGACGCTCCGACGATTGGCTGGCAGAGTGCCAACCAGCATGCGGAAAAGAGCGCTAGCTGCGGAAAAGGTGCGGCCAAGAGCGGCGCGGGACGTAAGGACTCTGCTCATTGGCGGCCACGGGGCAGCTCGCCTATTGGAGGCGCGTGGTCAGCCTAGCTGACGGATGCCGGTGGTCAAGCAAGCTTGCACCAGGGTGGTTGCTGATTGGCTGGGTTTTCTTGGGGTCTCGCGGGAAGGAGGGGCTGCGGCCGCGGAGGCTCTGAAGTCACGTCCGCACTTCCGTTAGGTTGCACAGGGCCTCTGTCCGCACCTTATGTAGGTAAAGTATTTGGTGGCAGCGCGTGAACTGCATACCTCTCAGGCCTGGGATCCTTTCTGAGGCTTCTTACCCCTTAGGCTTTGCCCTCTTATCTCCAGATCTTGCAAAAACGTATTCCCGGGCGAGTGTGGTAACACACACCTGTAATTACTCTACTTGGAAGGCTGTGGCAGGATTGCTGAGAGTTCGAGGCCAGCCTGGGCTACCCAGTGAGATCCTATCTAGAAAGAAAGAAAGAAAATAGTTCTAGGGATGTAGCTGAATGCGGATGCTCTGGGTTTATTCCCCAGTACAAACAACACAAAATAACTGCACTGCCTGTGTTTAGGCGGTAACATGAACCACTGATTCCAAGGCAGTGGGATTGGGGTTTGGGGGAGGATCTTGCCTAAACATAGCTCTCAGTATTGGTCGCTATTATCAATATCAGTTTCTGTTGGCATGATATACAGTAAAGTGCATTTTTGGTTTGGTATAGTGTCCAGTACTGGGGGTAGAACCCAGGAACTTTGCACTGAGCTGCAACCCCGGCCTTTTTTCATTTGTTTGTTTTAGATCCGAATTTGAATCCTCCTACCTCACCCTACCAGAATGCTGGATTACAAGGGTGTGCCTGTGCCTAGGTACTTGGTGGGATTTTTATATTTGTAGGTTTGTTACACATCCCAAATAAAATTTAGAATACCACGTGTGATAAAAATACAGTAAAGTCGGGGCGTGATGGTGCATGTAATCCCAGCACTTGGGAGGCTGAGGCAGAAAGATCACTGAGTTTGAGGCCAGCTTGGTCTACATAATGAATGAGACTCCTTTTTTGTTTTTGTTTTTTAAGTACTGTAAATACTTAAATTTAAAAATTTTTATTACAATTTTAAGACATATCATAAATAAGGCTTCTCGAATTACCTTTACTTAGAACACACTTAACCCACTTCTCTTTACAGTTTCTGAAGCAGTTCTGGAAGTTCTCTTTTGTGTCTCATTGTGCTGTGTATCTGCCGTGGTGTTCTGACTTGATTCAAAACATTTAACTTCGTGGTCATTTTGACTTTTGCATGATACCAGAACAGATGCATAAGGTAGATGTCTTCATTTGACAGAAAAATTCCATAAACATTTGTTCAATGAGGTATGACCAATGGTGAATGTTTAAGTTTTTAAAAATTAGAGTAAAAGACACATAAACCCCTCCACATACTCAAAATACTCTCACTTCAAATGTGCTTACCCCAACATTCTTGGCAATCTCTCTCTCTTCCTTTTTTTTTGTTTTTTTTCTGTATGGGGGATCAAACTTGGGTCCTTATGCTTGCAAGGCAGGTGGCAGAGCCACTGAACTAAATCCCCAGCCCCTCTTCATTTTTTTTTTTTTTGACAAAGTTTCTGTGTATTTCAGGCTGGCCATAAACTCACTATGTAGCTTGGGGTGGCTTCAAACTTGTAGTGATTCTCCTACCTCAGCCTCCGAAGTGCTGGGATTATAGGAGTGAGGCACACCACCTGGCTCTTTACTTATTTATTTACTTACTTAATAGTGACAGATTTATTTAAAAAGTGAAGAGTGAAAGGGCAAGGGAGAAAATTTGAGCCAAACGAAAGGAAAAGAGAAAATGAGCTCAAATAAAAGTACACCCTGGTCTGGGAGACATAGGGTAGGCTGCCTTGAAGAGTCACGGTACCTTACTGTAATTTTTAAAAATTAAACATTCATTATAGTTTTCAAACATCCCTTGTATTTCGAACACCCAGAAAGTACTCCTACCCATGTCCCAATCCACCCAGCGGTGGACACCCTCTTTCAATCACGTTTCAGACTTCTGTTGCATAGAGTTGTAGCCTAATTTGTCTGTTCTAAACCATCTTGCCCTTTTTTTCCAGTACTGGTGAGCAGATGCAAGGCTTTACACATGCTAGGCAAGCACTTTACCACTGAGCTACAGCTCAAGCCTTTTTAAAACTTATTGAGGGCCAGGGATTTAGCTCAGTGGTTC